GCAAGACGTTTTTCTCGCGCTCGGCCTACAAGTATATATTTTTTTCTTTTCCGCTTGTGTGTTAATCTGTGTTTACCCCGGATATTTTAGAGATGGCAATTCTCCTGCTGTGTATCCTACTGCTGTCCCTCCCGGCCATATCTAGTGCCACACTCAACTCTACAAACAGCTACCCTCGTTACTTTGCATCCATACTTGTTGCTCGATTTGCCACTACACCTGCTAATGAAACAACTCAGACACTTCTACACTCCATCATTGTATCCTTTTAAACCCTATCTTTGTCCCATTACTTCACCAGCACTCCTTCCAAACTTCATTCTGCTCTTAAAAATAACACCATCTGCGAGCTGCTGCTATTCGTCCAAGGTTCGCCGCTCTTCATCCTTTCACAGAAAATACTTGTGCAAACTATTAATTCTACTTTTCTTATTTCTGGATGGTATTGACCTTCATCCTGGCCCAAATGAAAAGAACTCGTATAATTCTGTAGATTTTTTTGGCAGGAAAGGTGTTGGTGTTCTACATGTCAACATCAGAGGGCTTGTGATTAAATTAAGTGAACTAAAACTAGAAGTGGCAAATCTTGACCCGGACATTTTTTGCCTAACAGAAACATTTCTCACTCCTGCCGTCAATGACTTGCAGATTGCGATTGACAACTACAACCTTTTTCGGCTTGACCGATGATCTAAAGGAGGTAGAATTGCAATCTATGTTCATAATACTATTGCATGTTCACTAGCTCACTCCTTGTTTAAAAAATGTTGCTTTGAAGGTCTGACTCAAAATAACTCTCCTAAATAATCAACAGATATTGGTAGTGTGCTGCTGTCGACCACCTAGTGGGAAGGATATTGAAGCTGCATCTGCACTGAGAGAGCGTTTTGGGGGCCTCCCTAAAGGTGGAATAGTTTTAGTGGGTGATCTAAATTGGAATTGGCTAAACCCGCTGGCCGTGGCCACAAGTTTTGCAGATTAATTTAATCTGTTTCAATTAATAAATGTCCCCACAAGACCCAACCTAAAAAATCTGGGACAGTCATCTCTGCTTGACGTCCAATTGACAAACGCCCCTCACAATTTCACACTGACTGGTGTTCTGGGTAATAACCTTAGTGATCACTCCATTTTTTTGGGTGAGATCATCAGCCAGACCCAAAGCCCCCCCCCTAAATTGGTTGAGAAGCACTCTATGAGACACTTCAGCACTCAGGCATTTACTAATGATGTGCTTCACTCTGATATTGCCAAGATTTGTGATATCCCCAACCTGACTACGGCTTGGGAGACCTTCAGGTACACGTTTCTCCAAATTCTTAACAAACATGGTCCGTTGGTTAGAATGGAAACATTCCTATGTCTGTCCACTTCACAAAGGGGCCCTAAAGATGATCCAAATAACTACTGACCTATCTCAATTTTGTCCCCATTGATGAAATTTTTTGAAAAATGATTGACCTACCAAATTATCAGTTTCCTGTCCACCAACAATCTACTACATCTAAAACAATCTGGGTTCCAAAAAAAGCACCACATCTGCTGCATTAGACTCTCTGAATCACATTTACAATAGCCTTGATAATAAGCAGTACTGTGCCTGTCTTTTTCTAGACCTGTCCAAAGCTTTTGATAGAGTAGACCACAACACCCTGCTTAGTAAACTAAGTTGCCTCGGTTTTTACGAAAATGCAGTAAAATGGGTACAAAATTACCTCTTTTCTCGCACCCAAACTGTATTCACAGATGTTTGGAGGTCAAACAGTGTTAACATAACAAAAGGGGTTCCACAGGGTTCCATCCTCGGCCCCCTTTTGTTCACTCTTTATGTCAATGACTTGGGCACTGACCTGGATCATTCCAAGGTAAATCTTTTTGCAGATGACACGGCACTGATTACTGCTGGACACTCTCCGGATGACGTGATTGCGAAGCTACAGGGTGATTTCAACAAACTACAACATCAGCTAGTTGCTCTTAAACCAGTCCTGAATACCTCCAAAACCAAGGTGCTATGATTCTCACCAGGACTAAAGCAGGAAGTTATTTTTCCCCAATTACATTCCTTAAATAATTATCAAATTGAGCAAGTCAATATCTATAAGTACCTCGGGGTCATCCTGGATTCAAAACTGAATTTTGAAGATCACATTGATTATATTGGTAAAAAGACAAAAATAAAAATTGGTTTTCTGTATCGACACAAGCGCTGCTTCCCCCCAATGTTCCGTTTGGAATTGATAAAAGCTACCATACTGCCTCTACTTGACTACTGTGACATCGTGTATAAATCAGCCCCAAGTACTGTACTGAAGAAGCTTGATTCCATCTATCACTCAGCCTTAAGATATACATTGAACTGCCCATATTGGACTCACCACTGTGATTTCTACATTGGGTCAAACTTAACATCTCTAAATGTTCGACGGCTTGTGCACCAGATCTTATTTATTCACGATGTACTTACAAAAAAATCCGCAGACTACCTGCTGGATCTCCTCTCTGTTTCAAAGAACAAATTTGACCTCAGGTCTTCGCTCATCAACCAGCTTCACATTCCCTATTGCCGTACAAAAACCGGAGGAAGGGCCTTTGCTATTGATGCCCCCAGGGTCTGGAATGCTATTGCCAATAAACTGCAACTTGAATCGCTACCAATGAGATCTTCTCTCAAAACTGTTCTAGAGGAGTTGTACACCCCTAGCTGCCACTGATATTCATTGGCGTAAAATAAAATAATTTGTTTCGCTCCGGATGATGCTGCAAAGTATTTTCTGTATTTAGATTTAGCGTGCTGATCTTAAAGGTGCAATGAAAAATTTGATACTCCGACTGATGCTTCTGTTGTTGTGGAGTAACTCATGCAGCCAGCTATGGCTCTAGGATTTGGTGTTACATGTTATTTATGTAGTTTATTGTAAAAATTCGGTCACTGTCCCTGTGATCACTGTTACGTTGCAATTATGGCTTTATTTTTTGGTGATTTCGAAAAGTTTTTTGGTTTGGACATGTTTGTTTTGTTGTAGTACGGAGTTAGACTGATGGCCTTAATCTAAGTTTTCTTGTGGTTGTTGTTGTTGTTGTTTGACTTGCATCGCACTGGGATTCTTTGCACACAGCGTTGGTGTACGGTGCTTTTTTCAGGAATATTTTGCTGTTTTTTTTTCCATGGATTTTCTGTTTGCACAGTCACGTAGTCACTTTAAGATGTTTTTCTTGTTCGTGTTTTTGTTTTTTTGTTTGTTGTGGTTTCACCCGATTCAAGAGCCGAATGGCTCACAGGGCTATACCAAAATAAATCAACTGAAACTGAAAAAAACCTACCCTTGTGTTTCCCATCACCATTAGGTTGCACGAAGGCCTGTATGTATGTTGAACTTATTTTGCACTGTACGTAGCCAACCGTGCTGCTAATAGGAGGTGCGGATTAGGTCTGCCCATACCATGTAATTGACAGGGCTTGTTTGACAATGCGTCACTTGTCAGTACACGTTGGCGAAGGTGAGCCAGGACCGGTTTCAGTATCACTGACCACGATTGTTGCCAGTGGCTGGGAATGAAAGTCGTGTGGTACGCGAACCATTCAGTCACCCCAGCTTATTCAGTTTGGAAACATCCAGTTCATACTTTGTATAAGTATACACATTTTTAAAATACATTTTCTGGAGGAGAGAAGACAAAAGAAAATAGCAAAGTCCAAAATAAAATCGCGAATATAAAAAAGTTGACGCTTTGAAGTCCCCATCAACACACAATTCGTTTTTATGTGGAGCTGAAACGGAGAAAGAAGTTAGTGTTATAGCTCGGGTTAATGGAAAGGGATATAGCTGGGATATATAATGCCAGACATTTATTCTTACTCATTATCTGTGGGAGCAATGGAGTCGGCCCCTTTAACAAAATCGTGCCCATTCAGATTCATTATCCTTCTCAATTGAATAAATGGGCTGTCCAGACACCACTATCGGATGATCATTCACTACAGTGCTAGGATGAACAGTCAATACTGTATAGTGGTACAGTCAGCACTATGCCTCCCACTCAAAGAAGGCTGCTCAGTCACTAGCCAGTTGCCGCTTTAGGCTATCCAGTTAGCACTACACACTGCGGATGGTTGTCAAGTCTCCAGTAGGCTGGTTAGTATTCAGCACCACTTGAGGGTCCAGTCACTCAGTATGCTTATGAGACACCGAAGACACCACCAGATAGTCTAAGGCGCTGATGTGCTCAGTCATTATCAGACTGGCCAGTTCGTCACCATTTGGCAGTCGATAGGCTGCCCAGTCACTCACCACCTAGGCAGCCCAGTTACAGACAGGTTGCACAGGAATGCAGTCACCAGTCGGCGGTCTGCATTGCCTAGTCACTCACTACGATACAATTATGCTCAGGCACTAACACCACAAGGCGTCTGGATTGCTCAATCACCCACAGGCTACCCAGTCACTACCTCGCAGTGTAGGCTGCCCTTCAGTGACGACTAAGTCATCTGTGCTGGCCAGTCATCGCTGGGCAGTCTAGACTGTCCAGTACTAGGGTGTCCAGTCAATCACCAATGGTCATTCTGAACTGCCCACTTCCTACAGTACTCGACTAACCTGACCACGACGATCAGAATCTTCATTTAGACTGGAGGAATCCGACGAGCTGCGAAGCCTTTTCACAGACGTCCAATACTGACCAGATAATCATTACTGCCCATTCAGTTACCGCTCGACAATTAACACTGCCCAGTCAGTCACCAAAAGCCAGTTCACACTGCCCAATCACTCGTCATTAGACAGCCCTGCGCTAAGAATGGCCCATTAAATCGCCACCAGGCGACAATACTGCCCTGCCCACGGAGCTCAACGGGCCGGACAGCTGTCCGACACCCGTCACCTCCTCCGTGGCTGTCAAGAGCTGTCGCGGTCGGGCACCCCGAATGTGCTGCTGCTGCTGGGCGGAGTATGCGAGCTCGTGGGCAGGGCCAGGGGCAGGGCCAAGAGCGGCAGGGGGCAGGGAGCTCCCACCCGGGTCTCGCACGCCTGTCGAGTCGGGGAGGTGCCACTGCCGCCCGTGGTTGTTGTTGGTGCGCCGAGAAACTCCTCCCGGAGGACATCATCGGTCAGGCGTGCTCCGAGCGGTAGCTCAGGTGGGCTTTTTGGCTCCAGCTGATCCAGCAGCTCCAGCTGATCCAGCTCCAGCAGCTGCTGCTGCCTGGGCTCTGTGTCCGCGTGTGCTGGGGTGTGTGTGGTGGGGCCGGCTTCAGGTTAGTCCAGCCCGCACACGCGCTGTCGTCCACGTGGATTTAAATGCTCGCTCACCAACTCGCATTGTTGACACTTGCGTGTGTGGTGTTGTTATTATTATTGTGTGTTTATCGCGGCCCTCTGGTGTTTGTGAGTGTGTTTGTGAGTGTGTGAGTGAGTGTGTGAGTGAGTGTGTTTGTGAGTGTGTGTCTGTGTGTGTGTTTATGGGCAGCGGTGGTGTAGCGGTTAGCGCTACGCTGCGCTACGAACCCGGCGACCCGGGTTCGATTCCCGCTCACGGCCAACACCCAGTGGCGATTATAATTATCTGAACCGGTCTTAGGTCTCTCCTAGGTCGACTCAGCCTCAAATGAGTACCCGGTGCGGTGTGTAAACATCGCCACTGGGGAGACAAAGGCGGCCGGGAGTGGTGTTGGCCACCCACCCCCTCGTGTGCAGTGCCGGCCTTCATAGGTGCTCGCTAACAGCACTTGCCCCTACAGTCTGTTCAGGCTATACGGGTGATCTTTGTCTTTATTTTATGCATTTGCCCCAACAGTCTGTTCAGGTTATAAGGGGGATCTTTATCTTTGTTTTATGCACTTGCCCCAACAGTCTGTTCAGGCTATAAGGGGATCTTTATCTTTGTTTTATGCACTTGCCCCAACAGTCTGTTCAGGCTATAAGGGGGATCTTTATCTTTGTTTTATGCACTTGCCCTCAACAGTCTGTTCAGGTTATAAGGGGGATCTTTATCTTTGTTTTATGCACTTGCCCTCAACAGGCTTATTAAGGCGAACACGGGGGATCGTTGTCTTTGTACACATCCACAGGAGTATTGTACACGGATGTTTGTGTTGGAGTGCTGTGTATTCACACACACACATGCATGCTAGGTGTGTGTGTGTTTACACGTGTGTAGGTGTGTGTGTGTGTTTACACGTGTGTAGGTGTGTTTACACGTGTGTAGGTGTGTGTGTTTACACGTGTGTAGGTGTGTGTGTGTGTTTACACGTGTGTACGTGTGTAGGTGTGTTTACACGTGTGTAGGTGTGTGTGTTTACACGTGTGTAGGTGTGTGTGTTTACACGTGTGTAGGTGTGTGTGTTTACACGTGTGTAGGTGTGTGTGTGTTTACACGTGTGTAGGTGTGTTTACACGTGTGTAGGTGTGTTTACACGTGTGTAGGTGTGTGTGTGTTTACACGTGTGTAGGTGTGTGTGTTTACACGTGTGTAGGTGTGTGTGTTTACACGTGTGTAGGTGTGTGTGTGTTTACACGTGTGTAGGTGTGTGTGTGTTTACACGTGTGTAGGTGTGTGTGTGTTTACACGTGTGTAGGTGTGTGTGTGTGTGTGTGTTTACACGTGTGTAGGTGTGTGTGTGTTTACACGTGTGTAGGTGTGTGTGTGTTTACACGTGTGTAGGTGTGTGTGTGTTCACACGTGTGTAGGTGTGTGTGTGTTCACACGTGTGTAGGTGTGTGTGTGTGTTTACACGTGTGTAGGTGTGTGTGTGTGTGTTTACACGTGTGTAGGTGTGTGTGTGTGTGTGCGCGCTTGGAACGGCTCAGTCGCGTAGTTCGGCACTGTGCATGGCGTGGTGGTGTTCATAGGACACGCACGCACCTGCGTTGCGAAAATAGTGATTTCATGCATAAGGATAATCCACTGAACCACAACACCTACCCAGCCACCCTCTTGCTCACCCACTGACACACCCCACGATATCTCTTACACACCACCAACTCGCACCCGGGAACGCGCCCATCCACCCACACACACGCATCCACCCACGCATCCACCTATTCACCCTTCCACAAATTCACATACTCATTAACTTTCACCTCTCCTGTCAATTTACACGTGCGCACATTCACTCACCTGCTCACTCACCCTTCCACTCACTTGTTGACCCATTCACTGAATAATCCACTCACTCCACCAATTCGCATACTCGCCCACGAAAATTCGTACATTTACCCACCCTATTCATCTTTCTCATCTATGCACCACTCCACCCACACCCTTTCGTACGCTCGTAGATCCACAGTCATTATTATTCTATTCTTTATTCGCATACAAAAAGACAAGTGAAAGACAAGCAGTGCTAATAAAAAATATATAAAAAAGTGTGCAGGTGAGGTTGGAACCCCAAGAGGGCTTTTATGAAAACCACACCAAAAATACGAACAATGTAGCTACAAAACAGATTGTTCAATCAATGAAACAAAAATAATAATTACAATTAAACATTAAACTAAATGTAAAAAAAAATGTTTGTTTTTGTGTGCGAATGTGTGCGTATGTATGTGTGAGTGTGTGAGAGTTTGGCTACGTGGAGGAGACTACTGGGTAGCTTTGCTCATCATTCCCATTCGCTAAACTCGCACTCGCGCACACACTCACCCATTCGCTCACATCTCGCTGAACGTCCACTCTGTCACTTCTCTGGAGTGTGTGTGTTCAAGGGGCCCTTCCCTGTTCGTGTTAAAAGCTGACTTGAAGCTGACCCAACCCCCCCCCCCCCCCCCTTATCCACTGTAGTGTATACCGTGTGTGCCTGCCTTATTTTTCTACTTTCTCTCCCCGTGTTCGTTTCTCGAGATCACTGGGTTATAAGATCCCTCTTCGGTCGATGATTTCTTTGAGCTGTGTTTTGAAAGCGGGGAGTAGTGTGTGTGCGTGCTCACGGACAGGTGTTCACCCATCCACACGCGTGTGTCTTCATTGTAGTACGTGCACGCGCATGAACACAATACTCCACCGTACACTGTGCTCAGAGATCCTCAGATTTTATTCAACTAACTCCCCAGAGGTATTTAGTTGAAGCCAACATAAATGTAGTTCTGCGTGGTGACAGGTGGGTGTAGTTCAAACCATTTTGTGACGTTATTTTCCATTTTCACTTGTTAATTAAGTTGCCAAAGAATAATTAGTAATGTCTACAAATGTCAGGAGCGATCACTCTTTAATTAAAACGTGTAAAGTATTTTCTCTTCTTCAATATGCAGTTGGAGTACTGCAATCCGAATTCGATGGTGCATGTCTTGATTTTGCTAGCCTATTTTTTTCTACCAATACAGCCGCCAAAGCAATCAGCTTCACTGAGGCATTGCTGTTAACTGTTTTTAGTACGTACCGTGTAATGTGTACAGCAACTGTGTCCTGTCCGGTCTGTAGTTAGTTTAAAGACAGGCTTGGTAATTTGGTAACTGCACTTAGAATGAGTCAACTTTATTTATTCTGATAATGCGTTATCTGGTGTACTCGTGGGCTGGTATGCGAGCATTTTCCCCATTCAGCTCAGAGCCACAAATTGGGGCTCAGCTGTTTTCAGCCCTCTGCTACATACCCAAAATAAACTTTGACCCCTTTATAGCCTCACTGTGCCCAACATCTGCCACATCGCGGATACACTCTGACACGCAAACAAGCGGTGCTTGCTGTAAGTGACGTACCTAATGGGGAGCCACTAAGTGTCGATGGCAATTTATTCAAACGCTGCCAATTAAAAAAAAATATTAACATCACAATTGCCGTTTGTGTGTGTGTTTTTTGGCCGCAGTTTATATACACCGTTCATTAAAAGGGCACCACTGTTAAAGCAGTTTTGCGTGTGGATTCAACGCATTGGTTTTTTGTTCATTTGCATATTCCTGTGAATGTCTGTCCCGTAGGATCTCTTACCTAACCTAGCAGAAATAACGGCTTGGAAATAAATGCCACCTCAGTGGTCACCAGGGTGGTCTGGCAGTCTGTAGCATTTGCCACCGGTACAAAGTTCACTCCCGACCTTGCGACTCCTAATAATCTTTGATAGTGTGCTTGCGGCCTTGGCTTCACATTTATCTTTGCGAAAGTAAAGATCTAAAACATGCTGAAAGCCCTCATGTGGCATTGTGTTGAGTTGAATAGGGCTTTTAAGGTTAGCCTAACACAATTTGCACAAATGATATTTGCGAAACTATTTGACAGCTATTGTTTAGTACTTTTTTCACGAACACATTTGTGAAATATACTCATATTTATATATTTATGAGTACATTTCACAAATGTGCCACTGTGGGTGTTAATGGCTTTGACACTGGACATCGCTGGTTTGATCTCCTGGCACGGCAGTTGAAACAATGGGCAATGTTTCGGTAACCCCGTGGCCTCTATCCACTCGGCAGTAAAAGGTGTACCCTACAGTTGATCAGCAGGGTTGTGTGTGGTGGGGTAAAGTGTGGGCACCCCACTTTTTTATTATTTTGCTGCTATAAATTTACGCATGATATGCCACGTCATTGAGGTATCATATGTGGCCAGGTCACCTCCTAATAAAGAGCTATATATAGTGGGCCTTTCATGGTAAAATACAAATAGGTTAAATAGTAGTTTGAGGCTGAGTCGACCTAGGAGAGGCCGATGACTGGGTCAGATAATCGTCACTGGTGTTGGCCGTGAGTGGGAATTGAGCTATATAGCTTAGTGGGCCTTAAATGGTACAATAATATCAGTTAAACATTTATACTTTAGTTTCAAAATGTCTGGCTAGCATGTGCCAAATGCCCTATTAAGGGGCTCTCTAGAGCGCCCCTAGTGGAGGCCTTCCACCACAAATCGGGTGAGTAAACAATTGCAGGGCTGTGCCTTCACCTGTTTATGTAGCAGGATGCTGTTTTTTTATACTATGATGCTTTTGAGGATTAGTTGTGTGCAAGGCGAGCAGCGTGGTTTTGAAATGTGCCTTGTGTGCCTGTGGCAGGTGTGTCATCGTTGAGCAGCAAGGATGTCAGACGAGAGCAGTATGGAGAGCGAGAAGAACAGCATGGAGGAGGTGCAGAACGTGAACAACAACAACATCGTCGACAAGACGAAGGAGGACGACGCTCAAGACGAGAACGACAGCACCAAAGGTTACGGCCTCAATGTACGAAGAATCAAAAACATGTTCTCTGTGGACTCGGACCCACCAGAGCCAAAGAGACCTGTGCTGGCACCACGGCCGTGGTCTGCTTTCATGTCGAGGTCGAGCGTCGTGATGGAGGCTGCGAGTCCCAACGGGAGGCACCGCAGCACTGGCGGTGAGGCCGTTTCGCCGTGTCACTCTGAAAAGAAATTCTGCGGTACAAAAAAGATTTTTGAAAGCGGCACAACCACAACACCCGCGGCCCTGCCTTCGCCTGTTCCGAGGGAAAGAATGACTCCCTTGCCCCTTTCGACATCTTATCCTGAGGGGAAAGACACGTTGGATTGCTCCCCTGTGAGCAGTAGCTGGCGATCGTCGCCCGGTGCTCAGTCCGTGTCTCCCAAGACAGAGTTTGCGATGCCCACCGCACAAATTCGAAAGTCAAGTGGAACTGAAAGTCTAGGTGATGACCCTGCACGCGAGCGCAGGAAAAGTGACAAGCCCGCGCCCATATTTGGGCACCAGGTGAATGCTGGACCGATGTCCAAAAGATTGGAAAGATTTCTTCAAGATGATGATGATGATGATGACGATGAAGCTGAGGACGTGTTTCACGCTGAAGAAAAGGAAAAGGTAATTAAACCGGAGCTTCGTCACACCAGGGACAAAGGACCTGTGGAGAGTAACATTTCTCCGGTCCTTCAGCCTCAAAGCTCATCTTCCCCACCGATCGCACAAAAACCAGAGATTCTGCCACGGGTTGCAGCTACTTCCACATTCGCGTCACGTCCAGCAAAGGTCTTAACTTCACCGTCCGCTGCTTCAACGTCGCCAGTTTCTGGCTCTGAGTCACCAGTTGTCGACAAGCCTTCGCCAACTGTGATGAAGCTATCGCCAACCGTGGTGAAGACATCGCCAACAGTGGTGAAGACATCACCAACTGCAGGTTTGCCAGCAGTAGCTTCGTTCAAGACATCACCAACGTCTATTTTGACATCGTCGACTTCTGTCCTGGCGTCGCCAACGGAAGACGAGCCAAGATTTGGACAACCACCTATAAGTCCATCTTCACGGGAGTCGTTCAAGAGAGCGAGGCAGTTCAGTTTAGAGTGCCCGAGGCCTTTCAGATCACAGCACGACAGCCAGGGCGTCCGCTGGAGTCGGATAGAGGTGCCGCTTTCTCCAACGGCCATGGACACCAGCGGTGACTTTGCATCAGGATTTCCAGCAACCGATCTAACCACAGCAGTTTCATTTGCCCAGAAGACGTCAGACACAACAAAGGTGATCTCGCCTAAAAGTAAGGGATTCGAAACAGACCTGGCTTTTCCGAAAAGAAAGATATCCGAAGCAAAAACTTGTGCTGCGTCTGAGACAAAGATCGTGAAGACAGAAATGGATTTGCCTGAATGCAAGTTACCTGCGGCAGACACGACCTGGGCTCAAACAAAGACATTGGAAACTGAGATGACGTTATCTGAAAAAGAGATGTCTAAGAAAGAGGAGGCTCTGCCAGAAAGTAAGGTGTCAGAAACAGATGGCCGTCATTTTAAGAGCAAGGTATCAGAAGCAGAGGCATCGGTCATTAAAAAGCACCCCGATGTGGAAACTTACTCTGTCACTGGGGTGGACGCTAAGGTGGATCATGTTCGCAAAACGTCTCCTGGTGTCTCGTGTGCAGTATTTGAACAACAGCATTTTATTAGCACAGATGCCACGGCAGAGGCAGGTCTTAAACAAGAGGCCATGAAAGACAATGACCTAAAGAGTGCACATATCCTGGACAAAGTCCAGGCTAGATCCACATACTTTGAAATCACAGCTGACAAACCGGTGAAAAAAGATGACAAGCAAAAGCCCTTTAAAAGCAACATCATGCTTTCTGAAGAAGTAGATACTGCTGCAAAAATCATTCTAGATGAGAAAATGCATGCACAGAAAGAACTCCTCGATGAAGAAGATGGAGATTTTACTTCGATTGTAGATGCCCACGCCCAGCTTTCAAACGTGTCCGATACTCCTGCAACAATGGTCATTGAAAGTAAAATGCATGCGCAGAGGGAGGTTATTGACGACTCTGATGATGATGATGATGACGAGGAAGATTTTACGATGGCTGTAGAGACGCAGATTGAGGTCAGCCGAGTAGAGACGGCAGCCCACGCGGTAGATTTGAAGAAACCTAGCCGGGTTTGCTTGCAGAAGAAGACCAAGGCCTTCGTCGATGGAGACACCGAGTTGGGGCTTGGGGTCGAAGGTCATCGAGCAGCACAAGAACTCCGGGGAAATCTGGAGCCTCAGCTGTTGGTCGCCGCCGCACCGACCCACTCTGCGAAGAGCTCAATCAGGGTAAGTGCCACGCTCGCTTTTCCTGATGACTGACTGCTTGCTTGAGTGTGGCGGGTGGGGGAGTCGAGATTAATTGTGTGTTGGGAGTCAATATTAATTTGATGCCTCGCGGTAATTGAACAGATCGAATTTGACCGCAGTCCTTCACGACCATTTTGCTGCACACGTGCTCTGATGTGCAAAAGCAGTCACAGCTGCGGCTCGTTTATTATAGCCATTCTTGATTGTTAATTTTTGATGATATTAAACCCAAGTTCTGGAATCGGTATAATGCCCACAAGCTTGGGGGGGGGGGCGTATGTAAGCTTGCAGGATGTCATCATAATGTTATTGGTGCCCATAGCCCATGACCTGCTTCAAAGGTCACGAGTCATGACCCGCTGTGCTTGCTGGCCATGAGAGATGCTTTGATAACATCTATTAACTCTGGGCCAGAGCCATCGTCATTCTGGTACGAAGTAATTAAAAAGTTACTGACGTTCGTTGGAGTTGAAAATACAGTGTTGGTTTTATTTTTTCTGATAACATGAAAGAAAAACCTCGCTGCATACACTGCGGTTGTGCAAGGATAAATAAAAGATATGTCATTCTATGGGGCCTTTGACCCCAAATTAGTATTTTTATAGATAAATAATTTTGCTGTGCACTAAATAATTCTGTCATTTTGAGTATTTGAATTTTCTCTGAAAGCAAAATGAATATGACTGGTGATTTTAGAGTACAATATCTACAGAATAAATAATAAAATGTACCATGTAGTTTAGAATGTATGTTATCCATCGGTGTGTTACATGTTTTCTCTTCAATAAGTAAGCGTGTGAAATGTGAAGAAAACAGTAACTGCACTTGCATATGCCACCTTATTTTAAGGAACTATTTATTCAATGTTGCACAATAGAGTCATCTTGAACCGCCTTGCTTGACTATTTAAGCCCTGGCATTTCTCCACATCAAATGAGCCAGCCATCCCACCAGCAACTTACCAGTTTTTGGCCACACCAAAGTCGTTTAGGATGACTGGGAGCGGATGTTACTTGTCGAGTGAGAATGATTCACGGTACATATTACAGCAATATAAAAGCAACAAAAAAACTCCTTATGTAAGTATTAAAAGTTTACGTAAAATGTGCAGGCACTGAAAGGTGCTCCCTGTAACAGAATTTTCCCAATTTTCCTCCTGGCACATTTTTCATGTCTGCAGACTGTATTACTTTGCAGAAGACCACTTGGATATGTTGCAGGAGATAATTGCTACTGCGGTTTGCTCATGTGCCATTCTGCATTAGAACTGGAGATATGAGTCCGGCTTTTAAGAACCAGCATGCTATCCACCCTTCATATTTATTTTAATTGTGCTTCATTTTATTAGATTGCCCATATACACCTAGGCAAAGTGTATTTAAAAAAAAAATCCCCTCGCAATTTGCTAAACCTGTATTTTAAGCAGTTTAGCAGCTTGTGATCATCAGGCAGGATTAAATACTTAATTAGGCTTAGTTCATTCAAGAAAAAAATGCGCAATACTTGGGAATTTCCCACATGTGGTTGATACAAAGATGTAAGTCCTTCACTGCTTGTTATGGCTGCTGTGGCCTTTTTAAAGAGCCCAGTTGGATACTTTTTGCGTGTGATTGATTAGCAGCTCAATTACCATATGTTATGAAGATCCTCCGTGGCCTCTTATAATAAATTCCTCTCTCCTGCTGCATTTCCATCCTGCGCCGTGTTAGTGCGTCGCTGAATGCTGATATCATTTTAGCAAATGGCTTGGACAATGAAAAACATTCAAATTTTCATCTGTTCCCCGGTGTGAATTCGTGGGGGAGAAAAACCCACACAGTGCACTTAAATGTGGAACTTTTGCACAAAGAGGTCCCATGCTGAAGTGCACGTGATTGTTTAAAATTCTTCAGCTTGGGTTAAACTGAAGGTGGTACGCAGCTTTGCTTGCCTCTGACCAACTTGCACTTTGTTTTAATTTGTTACAGCGTATGACTTGTCAATGCTCACTGCACACCGTAAATAATGGCCTCAACTGCAGTACACAGTCTGCAACTCTGCAATTTTTTTGTCAAGTTTTTTTTGCATGAGACTGTCGGTCGTGGGCGCTGAAGTCCTGACGTTCCAGCTGATGTTGCCGACCACAAAATCATGTAACCACACTCAGATTCCCCTTCTCGAACATTTCAGTATTCAAGCCATTTTCCACTTTATCCTGCTGCCCCATTTGTTCGGCTCATTTCCTGGATATGTTTTTGTACCATCTGAAATATGCTTCAAGCGAAGATGACCACTGTACTCTACTACAGTTTAAGAGGTAATGACAAGACCTGACTGCCAAAGATAAACCTACAAGACAATATTGCCGTGTTTTATGGTTGTTTAAAGCGAAACCATTTATTCTTTTTTTTACTTTTAAAAGAGAAATGTACACAGCCAACAGGCACACACAACGAATGTGGCTGAGAGTGAGGTGTCGTGCATGCTATTGCTTGTAAAATTCTCAACCATACTTTATATACAGCTTACAAAATGGTGACCCCTCCAGTGGATATAGCAAAAATAAGTCCCCTTACAATTGAAATTCAGATTAATATGCAACTTAAGAAAAACATTCACAATAAAGGATTTTTTTTTTAGTTAGATGGCGTAAGTATAAATGTGTCGTTAACCTGCCACCACCCGACACAGCCAGTGAGTAAGGTTTGTCACGAAAATAAAAGTGCCAATTCATTACTAGTACAGCACACCGGTGTGTTGGAGAGTTAATCCGCAACATTTACAATTTGAGTACGAGGTTTCTCAGGTAATTACATCCAGCATCATCGACACATACATATGCGATCTAACACAAAAAAAAACCTTGATTATGAATAATATTTTTTTTGTTTCCTTAAAGACCAATTGAACATATTACAACTAATATGTCATGTGCTTGCCCACGACATTGTTTCACGATAGTAATACCAATCATTTACCTGGTGTGGATCATCCACACAGTTGATAGTGCACTGCACTAGGTCTGGTGAGCCGAGTTTCATTCCTGGATTTGTTCAACATCAGTGGTGAGCGATATCTGAACCAGGCCTCCCTCCATCACCCGGAATGACCAGCGTGGTGCAGTATGGTCAAACAGCTCTCTTTCCCTGATTCAAGATCTCCCCTTCTCTTGCGCTTGTGGTGAGCGAACCCCGCTCGAGTCGGCGTTATATTTCTGTGTCACCTGCTGCAAGTGTTGCCCGAGCGGTGCGTGGCTTCGATGTTGTTTTTCCTCCAATGTGTTTGCTACCCAATGTCTGCAATGTTATGATTTATTCGCTGCTATAACTCCCCTTTTTTATCATCAAGGTCCTCCGTGGGTCTTGCTTGTAAAACAGCTTACGGGTTGGTTGTTTCTTACAAGCATCAACATAAACAACAAAACTAAATTAAAAAAATGTAATCGAATAATGTGGAGAGGCCTTTCGTCCAACAGTTGATTGACAATAGGTTGCAACTACTATTTTTTTAAAATATTATTTACTCAGAAAAGCTTCACTGACTCTCAAGACTCTTTTTTTCATAAAGATCCTGCATTGGGACGATTGGCCAATGCCTTAATAAACGAGTGTCGTGTGGAAAGAAACCGGGAGTGTCCAAGAAAACCCCGGTAGAAAGGGGATAACACTTCGCACTACCATCTCCTGTCTATATTCTGTACCCTGGCCACATATCAAAGCGCCACAGCCTACAACATCGAATAACCAGGCTCAATACCTGCTTAACTTCTAAGCTTGTCGTGAGACTGAGCATATTTAGAGTGAGTTCTGCGTCCCATATCCATCTTCTGGTATTTTTTGAGTTCTAGTTAGCAGGCAGCACATTACTCTACATGGCAGTTGTTCCAAAAATATGCCCAAGAGCAGGCGATTTGGCAATTGTTTTTAAATTGGAATCCAATGTGGAAAGGGTAGCTATGTATTTTATTTTGCTTCAGGGCTTTAGTTGGGTAATGAATGTCCAGTACCACGCGCAGCTCTTTTTGTCAACCCACTGCTGGATGAGGGCCCCCCCCCCCACACTGTGCGGGTCTTGGGGGTTTTGTTTTTTACTCCATATTTAACACCACCACCACACTGGTTTAACACGTAGGCTTTCGCGACCAATATCATCCACAATACAGGTATTTTTTTGGGTTAGATCGCGTAAATCCTTTTTTTTCTCTTTTAGCAACAATTCGCTAGCTTTATGTAGTATTTGATTTCTGCGATCTAACCCAAAAAAAAACCTGTATTATGGACCACCACACTGGTCAGTGCGGATTCGGTGAAGGCGGGGGAGCATAGATGTTGCAGGGTTGCACAAAACACTGAAATGTTCTGCACTGCCACTTGCTTCCCACCAGGTAGCGGCCACAACCTATAGCACCTGTTATGCACCCGAGCACAATCCACCCATCCAATCGCTGGCCAGCCTCAGCACTACTTTGCTTCTGCGAACTGACGACGTCAGGTGTTTTGTTCATTGGCGTGTACACAGCGCCTGCGTACAAAAGAAGTCATCATTTAAAAGGCCGATAGTATTTTCCATGAAAGAGATCAGATAAAATATATTTTTTAAGTTTTTGTTTTTTAACTTCATTTTTATAAAACACATGCACAGTGTCACCAAGAGACGTAAGTATAGAACAGTCAGCCTTGGTCAGACAGAGAAGCAGAGCAACATGTTCGAGGCTTTGATTCCCAGCGGCGTTCCCTGCCGTCTGTTGAATTTGGTATGGGCCGGATAGTTGCCGTGCGGAGGAAGCAATAAATTAACACAGTGTTGTACTTTAATGAAGTTGATACTCTAGAAGGGTGGTGCTGGAGGACGGCATGATCATGGCGCGCGCGCACACACACACACGCACAAAACTAGCCAAGCAAGTCTCAGTGTGTGTAATGTCACAACCATCATCCTTAATACTCTGCTATGACACACATTGTGATCCACGTTAACACGGTGAATTCTTCCAAAGCGAA